TGGCGGTAAAGGGGGTGTCCTGGTTTTTTCGGGATGCTTGTGGAAAATGCATGGCGCCCTCCAAGTGTTGCTGGAATCCAACTCATGTAAGCCATAGCCAAAATGGCCAATGATCAAGGATGATGGGAGTTTTAGTCCAACAACTTTATGGAGGTTGGCAAAGCCTACTCTAGACATTAGGACCAAGCATGGTCCAATGGAAATGCCTCCACAGCTGGAAACCACAAGAGGGAGAGGGCCCCTCTGCTTGAATCCCGCTTGCTGGTTTCCCACAGGCATCTGGTTGGCCACTGTGAGAACAGGATGCTGGACAAGGTGGGACATTGGCCTGGTCCAGCCGGCTCTCCTTACGAGTTGTAAAACAACTTATAGGCAGAGTCCTGTGCATAGCACACACTCATAAGAATAGTCAAGGAGTGATCCTTTGTGGAACAGAAGAATCATACAGCTGCCTGCATTTTTCTCTGTAAAGTGATTGGGGTCCTGATAACACAGGAGTGTGGAAGCTGGGGGCCCCCAGATGTTTTTGGACTACAGTTTCCATTGCCCCTGAATATTGTCCATGCTTCCTGCGGCTGATGGGATTCATAATGCTCAACATCTTGAGAACACCAGGTTCAGCAAAGCTGACGCAAGCCCACTGTGAGCACTTGATTTCCCAGAATGCCCCTGTGATGCACAGGGTTTCACTGGCAAGATGCAGCGGGATCCCTCAACCCGCAAGCTGACGTGGAAACGATTCCCTGGAAGGAGAAATTTTTGAAAACTACCGTTTCAGTGGAAATGGGGTGTGGTGCTGCATATCAGAGGACAGAAGGGGGAGGGGAAAAATTTAAAACATCACATTTTGAGGTGGGGAGGTACCTTTATTTTTTAAAAAAAGATCTCTCCCCCCCCTTCTTTTTGATGGCACTTTCCCAGCATTGGTTTGGCAGTAGCCAGTCATATTTTTAGTTTAAACAGGCTTTCATTTGTAAAAATATAAGGTTGATGTGCGAGCCAAAGAAAAGGTAACAAGCCATTTCTGTATTTATTATTTCATGGTTTCATGTATCCCTGGCATACCATGTATCATTTGCGTTCTGGTCCTCAAGAGCATTCCTGTTATGAAAGCTTGATGTTTTCTTCAACAGGGGATGTATAGAGATGCCAAGTTTGCTAAGGGCGGCGGGGTGGGGGTGTGGGGGTGGCAGCGTTATGTGTGAGTGAGGGAGTAATAATCATCTTAGCTTGAGCGTTCATACAATGCAACAGCACAGACCAGCTAGGCAACATCTTTGCAGCTGCCCTGGGATATAAAACGGCTCCTAAAATACTCCACTGAGACCAAACAGTAAGGAAGCTTGACTCAAACCATTACAGGTCAAACCCTTCTCTCTCTCTCTCTCTCTCTCTCTCTCTCTCTCTCTCTCTCCCTCCACCCCCTCGGCTTCTGGCAAGCTATATAAAAATATATATTTGTGGATTTGTGTGTGTGTGTGTGTATCTGTCCACGGATAAGTTTGTGTGAGACTAGGGACAAGGGAGAATTTTTCTTACGTTTGCATTTAGGTTGACGAACCCCCCCTAATTCACTCTTTCCTAAGCACCATGAGAACCGAAATAGGGTCCTCCTTTGGTATCCTTACTTTTCTCAGTTTTCCAGTGCAGTTCTCCAGCCAAGTAATGAGTACCCAAAAATAAAATTAAAAATGCACATACAAAGTGGTTATAAAAATGTATATGGGCATGAAATTAATGTACAAAACTGTTATATTAGGGGAATGTGAATGTGAAAAAATGAGTGAATTGGGCAAAATTGCCTGCAAACGTGTCTATTAGGAGAAATTTTCACTGAAACTGATGAATTTTCATGATGTCTAAAAGTAAAAATAAACCTCTAATTGATACAGAAATGTAGAGAACTAGAGATGGAGAACTTGAGAAGGTGGAGAAACTCAAAGAAGTAGACTGATTTGCCGATCTTTATGTGAGATGCAAACTATTGGACAAAAGCATGGAATCTGTATGAAAGAAGATTCAAGCACATATAAAAGAGTCACATATACAAAAACAGTTAAAACACAGAAGCATAGAATCGTAGAATTGTATAATGGGAAGGGACCCCAGGGTCATCTAGTCCAACTCCCTGCAACGCAGAAATCACAGCTAAGAATCCCTGACAGATGGATATTAAACCTCTGGTTAGAAACCACCCAAAAGGAGAGTCCCTTGCCTTCCAAAGCGGTCTCTTTCACTGTTGAACAGCTCTTACCATCAGAAAGTTATTCCTAATGATTTTTCAAGGCCTCTCCTGACTTCGGTTTAATGGAGAACTGAGTGCCATCAGCATACTGATGACCAGTGCTTTTTTCAGGAAAAAAAGTTTAGGGGTACTCTCATTTTCCTACTCAAATTGAAATAGTGCCCCTCAATGAGGCCAAACTTAGATACACAGAATGTTTAGGGGTATGAGTCCCCTTGCGTCCCCCCAGAAAAAAGCACTGCTGATGATACTATCCTTTCTATCTTCATAAGTTTGTATGTTGCATGGTTTCAGATCCAAAGTTTGAAATCATTTGTTTCCTTTGGCAAAGAAGCAACTATAGACTCTCCAATAATTCTGAAGATCTGAAGATGTGCACCACTTTGTGAAATGATTGTCTGAAGAAGTGGTATATGTCTTTTAAATGCATGAAATAAACCCCAATAGAGGATGTTTTCATTACCTTCAGGACGCAAAAGGGCTACAGCAGAGGTGGAGTGTCTGTGATTCTCAATTCAACTACTGGCCATAAAGCTAACAAGAGATGGAGTCCAACAGCAGAGCCCTGGGTTCCTCCTGTAGGGTTCCAGTAAGCAACACCTGAGCTACAAAGTTGGCCTCTGAATGGTCCCTTGTGCCAACCAGACAGAATGCTCAGTGGGCAGAAAAGAGAAACGGACTCACAATAAATCTCCACTTTAATTACGATCATGTTAAATGGTCATTGTATCGAAATCAGGGCTTGTTGTCCATGCAGGAATGATGAGCATGCTAGATTTGATGGTCAGACTGGCGGACAGACAGACAAGCGGTTGGACTAATTGCGATTTTCTGCGGCACCGCTAATAATAACACATTGTGCTAATGGCACACCATGGCCGCTCAGGGAAAAACGATCCCTTCTGCTACTTTGCTAATGAAAACCTCCTTCATTCAGAAAAGGCCACACATCAATAGGGAGAACTCTTCTGTCTTCTCCTATTAGCTTAGAAATGCACTGGAATAAGACAGCGAAGTCTCAAATTCGAGGCCTGTAAGTCATTTCCTTTTGGATATTCTTAAAAAAAACCACCCACAACCCAGCAAATAAAAAACTTTGTTTTCAAAAGTGGGACTTCCTTTCTAAAGGGGGGGGGGGAAGTCCAATGCATATCAAAGGGCGAAAATAGACCAGATTGTGGTGGACATGTATTTATTTTCACGTGATGTTGGCCTGTTTCTTGAGCATTCTTGCTGGTTTGCTGGTGGGAAGGCTCCGCCCACCACTGACATGCAGCCCTTTGGAGCCTGCCAAGAAGGGAATGTGACTGTCCAGATGAAAAGGGTTCCCTACCCTTGGCTAAGAGTTTTCAAACAAAGGCTGGATGGCCATTGATGAAGAATATTGCAACAGTGCTCACCCAGCACTAGCAGGACATTAGAAGATCTTCCATCGGCATGATCCTGCAAACTGCTCCCAGTTTGGGAGGATGAACTTTGAAACTGGGTGAAAGATTCCCACACCCTATCCCAGTGGTTCCCATACTTTTTGGGGCCTGCCTTCTTGGTTTCATAAACTCATCTCCAGTGCTGCCTACCCTATAAAAAGCATTATTCAGAACAGTGGTTTGCATGGCCCGCTAAGGAAGTTAATAACGCAGTAAAATTCAAAACAGTGACCATTAATTTCACATTTATTCAAACTCCTGTTAAAACTCCTAAGTTGAATTAATTAAACAAAATGGATGAACTTGATCCAGGAATATCAGCTTTTCAATTTCTGATGGTCATTTACACCTCCTCTGCCCCCTTGCCACTCTCTTGCGCTTTAAGGCCCTACTAGATAATCCCACTGTCCCCCAGGGGGCGGTACCACCCACTATGGGAACTACTGCCCTAACCCTTAATCCACCAAGTTCTGGCATGCCTCCACCTTCTGGTTTTGGTTTGCTTTTGAATCAGAAGTTGGCAGTATTACTGTCATTGTGTTAGGTACACAGAACCTGGCCAAGGTTTCAGTTCAGTCCACATATAGAGGGGTGTGTGTGGTGAGGGTGGGGAGTTCTGTATGTCTGTAATTTGAGAGTATATATTGATTTGATCATGCACCCCACTTTTGTGCCTCCCTGCTATGGCACACCAGGATGAAGCCTGCAGTCATTTACTCCAGAGCAATCCTATTAACATTAATGCTCCAGAACAAGCAGGTTGTGGATTGCAGCCTAAATGACTTATCGACCCAATACATACGAAATGCAGAAAACTGAGGGACATAATTATTCAGGATGCTTAATTCTCTCCCCCCCCCCTTCCTCTTCTTTCTAAGCACTAGCTCTTCCCTGGTCTCTCATTTTTTTAAAAAAATAAATTTATAAATAAATAAAAGTCTATAAAGTTATTGGAGATGAATGCATCTTCAAACTTTTTTATATAAACTGCTTCCATTCTGCTTACCTGTCCCTTCTGGGGGCTATTAGTCTCTGCAGCCCCTTCTGTCTGGATAATGTCTTCTATCCATTCTTATTAGGTTAAATCAATCGAGCGTTGGCAAAACAGCATACTGGAAACTGGGCAATCATGTTAACATTTGCTGGCCTGCTCTCTAAACAGGGGCATATGCTAGGCACACAAAGGACTGTACCCAGAGCCCAGGACACAAATTTCCATGAAACGTGCCTGTGCTGTTCAAGTTGCAGAGATGGTGGGTAGCCAGGGTCTCACAAGCACTGCACTTTGCAGTGGACTCTGCTGCCCTGGTGGCAAAATGTAAAAAGAAGGAAGGTGTGATAGCTCAGTAGCAGAGCAATTGATTTTCATTCAGAAGGTCCCAGGTTCATTCCCTGGCATCTCCCAGCAGTGGCAGGCATTGTGTTTTCAAATTTCAGTGGCGCCCTGTGAGAAGCCAAAATTCAGCATGCACACACACACATACCGCTTCTCACCTTCCGTTCTGCATCATAGTTGGGGTGGCCCCTGCGGTGCCCTGTTGGCTCAGTGCCCAGTGAGGGTGAACCCGTCATGCTCCCCTAAATCTGCCTTTGCTCTCAGTAGGGCCAGAAAAGACTTTGAGATCTGTGGCTAGTCAATAGGCAATACTGCTCTGTATGGATCAATTATCTGACTGAGTCTATGGCACCTTCTGATATTCCTAATGTCCCAGGTTCAGTCTCTGCCATCTCCAGGTAGGGCTGGGAAAGACTGTCTGAAACCCTCACATTAGTGTAAACAGCAAAGGAACCAATGGTCTAAATCAGTTCTAGGTAATTTCCTGTATTCAGTCTTACTGTGGGATGTGAAACACAGAGCAGTCAAGTACAACATCCCTAGAGTGGACATAAAAAGGGGGTGTCTGGACCAGCCAGTCAGAACTTCCTGTTTCCTCCTAGGCTGGGACAGACTTCCTCTACATGTGACCAGAGGTGGGCGTGGCCTCACCTGTGCGGGTAACAAAAGCATAGGACTGGTCACCATTTCTCTCTCTCTGACTACATTCGTTGAAGAAGCAACATCTGCTTAGCCTAAGATGCTCTCTTGGCTTGGAGGATAAAGGAGCTATCTCCTTATGGGATAGTTTCCAGGTGTATATTACTTTTGTAACTTAAGTCTACCTTCTGGGATCCATTTGTGAACAGAATGTGTGAGTAAACTCTTTTTATACTTTTATAGAAGACTGTCGTGTCTACCTTTTTATGAGGGACTAAAGGGGAAATTACCAAGGTAACTTATTTTAGAGGCTTTAGCGAGCCTGAGCAAACACATCTGCTGTGCAGGTTTAAAAAGGGGAATGTTACTCTGCTAAATTGTAGAACTTCTTAACACAAGTTGGAAAGGATACAATCAAACAATATATCCTCTCCTGCATCCCTGAAAATTCCCACAGTTACAGTCCTCAGGCAGTCCACCCACTAAAATCTGTGCATGTTGTGAATCAAGCTATAAATACTATACTGATGATAAAGCTTTGTATCTTCAAATATGCTATAGCTCAGTGGTAGAGCATCTGTTTTGTATGCTCAGGGTCCCAGGTTTGACCCCTGGCATCTCCAGGTATCTTTACCCTTTTTCTGAAAACCTGAATAGCTGCTGCCAGGCAGTGTTGACAGTACTGAGTTGGATGTGTTAACAATGCCCCAGTTTTCAAATAATGTTAAAGAAGAGGCCCATGGCCATCTTTTTCGTAACCTGTAGAAAGCTTGAACATTTCACAGGTTATGTGTGGACCCTGGCAGATGCCCACAGATGCCTACTCCTGGCACCAGCCCTATGAGCCCATCTTGGAGGCTCCCCCAAAGTATCCAGCATGGCCATGCAGGGAAACAGAATGGTGGACTAAGATGGGCCCGAGGCCCAACCTTTGTTTCTCAGCTACCTTCTTGTTGGTCTTCTCTGGTGTTCCACCACCAGATTCTGCACCGGATCCTGCCAGGATGTGTGTTAAAGCTCCCTATGCCCAGCTCGACTTGACAGGCAGTCCCAGTCCAATGGATCTTCATTCCTTTCTGTGGTTGTGGGTTTCGTGTGTGTGGAGGAGATTGCAGCCCTGCTTATGCATCTGAGCTTTGTGCAGAGATGTATAGTTTTCATCTACAAAGGCTACAGCTCCTCTTCAGAAGGTCAGATGGAATCTAGATATAGAGAAAGATTTATGGGGCAAGACAAACGGCTTACAGTCTGCTAGTGTCCCCAAATCCATAAATCCTCTAAGTGGCTAGGCTAGCAGGAACCAAAACACAACTGAAAAGTTTATGAAGAGGCAATGGATTCAGGGGTTGGAACATGCCCATCTTCTTCATGCACCCCACAGTCATAAACTCCCTCCACCTCCCTTGTGTAAAATACAGCTCCCTTGTTGTCAGGATAATTTAGCCTGGCTCCAGGTTTCAGACGGTCACCTCTCCGGCGGTCTGCTGGATGACGGGGCAAGTTGTAATATGTCACCAGAGGGTCATAGACAACTTGATTTATGGCCCATTGTGGTCCCAGGCAGTAGATTACATGAACCGATGACTGGGGAGAAAGTGCCCAATGATTTCAGATATGATGGAGCAACTAACACGATTGAGGGGGCAGGATGAAGTCTTCCCAAGGACAGAAGGTTAAGGGTTTGAAAAGGAAAGTGAACTTAGAGGCTGTAGGAGAGCAAATGAAGAGTTGACAGTGGAGGGACTGTAGCCCAAAGGGGCCGTAGCTTAGTCATCAGGGGCACACTTAGCATGCAGAAAGGTTCCCAGTTCAGTCTCTGGCATTCTCTGTTATAAAGATCAAATGCAGTAGGTCTGGGAAGGAATTCCATCAGATGACCTAGAGTGTGACCACCAATCAGAGGAGACCACACAGGCTAGATGGACCAATAGTAGCATCCAATCTCGGCCTGGAAGCTCACACAAGGGATGCAAGTCTTGTCACAAAGAGATATCTAAATTGGAAGACTGGCTGATAAAGATCTGGGACATGGCACAAATGGTGAAATTGACTAACATCAACAGGGTAAGCCACACCAGACTTTATTGAACCTCTTTATAGCTTACTGGAAGGGGGGGGGGATGAATGACAGTAAAACCTTATACAATCCTGGATGACATATAATAGGGGGGGAGCATAAAGATGCTAAATTATAAACAAGTGTGTATATATATATGGAATATACAAATATATATATATAAATGTGGAACTTCCGGGGTGGCGCCTCCGGAAAATGGCGGAATTCCCTTCGAACTGAAGGGAACCCGCTGCACGGAGGCTTGGGTCCTGCCGCTACGGCGCAGCGGGGACCCCCAAAAACCACAGGCGGAAGAAGCCTGTGGGCGTGGGACTCGGCGGGCACCGAGAGCGCTCTCTCCCCTTGTACAGGAGCCCGTTACCGGGCTCCTGTACAAGGGGAGGTGCGTGGTGCTGTGAGTCGACTGCTTCCTCCGTGCAGCAAAGCCGCACTGCCGTTTTCGGAGAGCGCTGCCTTTTTCCTGGACAATTTGGCATCTAAAACATCTATCCGTGAGTACCTGAACCTGGAAGAGCTGAACTACTTTTAAGATTGGTGAATAAATAAATAATATTGGACTTGAACTTGAAATTGAATTTAATTGGGACTCGGAACGGAAAGGTCTAAACAGGAAGTCGCCTTCCGTTCTTTTGTTATGTGAAGAAAGCAAAGACAAATTATACTAAAGCCTGAAAACTAAATTCTGAGAGAACTAAAATTCAACATCTAAGATTTCTGAACCCCCCCTTTTGATTGCAGGAGAAGAAGGGGTTGTTTTGATCTTTTCAACCCTGCGGAAGTGAGTTTAAAATAAAGTAATTTTCCACCGCCCTGAACCAGGAGCGGGCTGTCAGAACTGACGTTTTGAAGCTTATCCAGCTCGACAGATAGTTAAAAGAAGGGTAACATTTTGATTCTACTGTTGCCTCTTGAATTTGAAAGGGGGAATTTTGGATAAAGTGTTTCTGGAAAAAGAAAGATTGTTACTGTTGTTTTTCCCCCTCTTAAAAAATAATAATTAAAAAAAGGGTTTTCCATCTAGTGGAACTGAGTGAAATTGCAATGCAGAGAGTTTAAAAGAGAAGGATCATTCTCGTGGGAAAGAATTTTTTCTGACCTTGAAGGACAATGCTTATACAAAGGCTTGAACAAGTGTTCCTGGAAGGTTTTGCAAAATTAAGTGCCCAGCTGGACCAGATGCGTCAGGAGTCGACCTTGATGATGACGGAAGTCACCAGAGCACAGCAGCAAACAAATGAAATTCAGTTAAAGTCTATACAAGTATATGAACCTGCTGTAGCGACGGAGGCTTCAGAGATGGAGGGACTTATGGATGGGCAAGATCAGCCTTTGAACTTGATAAATGAACTTGGGACAAACCTGATTCGGAAAGATGAAATGTGGTCAGATTTGGAAATGGGGGGATGGATTGACACCCCTCTATATGGTTATTTGGACTTTCCGAGTCTAGGGATGGGCCATCAGAGGATTGGAGAAGTCGAAGTCTCCAAGTTTTCTGGAAATTGGAAGTGGTATTATCTGTTGTCTGGCTTGGGTAATGGGTTTGGGATGGACTTGCTGCAAAGAGTCAAAAGCATCTTTTTGCTGGAGTATCCACGACTGAAAGGGAAATATCAACAAGAGTGGCGAAAGGGGCAAGAAAGAGACTTGAGGGCCTCGGACACGAGACAACCAGGTTAAGGAGCCGGATTATTGAGGTTAAAAGGACTGACAATCCCGGGACCAGGGGAGGGAGGCTGGAAGTTGACTGGACTGAATTTGACTTATTATTTTCTTTTCTTATTTTTAATATTGGGAATGTTTATAAATGTTTGAAGGATGTTGAATGAAATTATATGACTTAAGTAAGAATCGGTAAATGGTTTGTAAAAGGTAATGATGTAAGAATTTGCTAAATATGGAATATAAGCTTTGAGTTTTAAAGTTTTTATATGACAAGAGGGAAAATAGAACAAGGAAACGCAATGATAGATTATTATGAAAAAACAGAAAGGATTTGCTGTAAAAATTAAACACTAAGAAACAAGAGAGGGGAGGAGGAGGAAGTCTAGAAAGGAAGTTAATGGAGATCGTAAAGGATTTTATATTTCTGTTTTTCTGTTTTTCTTTTTTTCTTTTTTGCGGCTGGGTTTTTTCTTCTTTATTATTTCTGTATTATTTTTGTTTTTGTTTTTTTTTCTTTTTTGTATGTTCAAACTTTTTTGGTAATTTTTGTTGTTATTTGTTATTTTTTGAAAATTTAATAAATATCAATTTAAAAAAAATATATATATATATATATATAAATGTGTATATATGTTTAAATAGCTCATACTTGAACACACACAATACTGGCCACATACACACCATACATTTAAAGCAGAATGAGACCAATTTAAGCAGTCGTGCCTTCCCCCAAAGAATTCTGGGAGCTGCAGTTTGTTAAGGGTGCTGGGAGTTGTTGATTAACCAACACTGAGCAACTCTCTGCTGAATGTGTGAATGGACTCAATCAGAAAGTACAGTGTTTCAGTTATTTATTTATTAATTATTTCATAAAATGTATACACCACTTGATTGTTAAAAACAACTACAACCCTCAAAGTTGTTGACACTGGTTGAAACAAATGTCTTCCCTGTGGCTGTGGTGGCACGTTCACATGTGCCAGAACTAGAAACCCCTATCAGGTGGTGAATATTCACATGTGAACCAGTCCTAGGATTTAATTTAGTAACAAAAGAATTTCTTATGGTCTTAAACTGGTGTGTAGAGACCTACCACTGGGCCATGGCCTGATCCAAGGTGAGTTGCAACAAGAGCCCTAAAGGTAAAGGTAAAGGGACCCCTGACCATTAGGTGCAGTCGTAGCCAACTCTGGGGTTGCGGCGCTCATCTTGCTTTATTGGCCGAGGGAGCCAGCGTACAGCTTCCAGGTCATTTGGCCAGCATGACGAACCAGAGCAATGCACGGAAACGCCGTTTACCTTTCTGCCAGAGCAGTACCTATTTATCTACTGGCACTTTGACGTGCTTTCGAACTGCTAGGTTGGCAGGAGCTAGGACCGAGCAATGGGAACTCACCCCATCAGGGGGATTCGAACCACCGACCTTTTGATCAGCAAGTCCTAGGCTCTGTGGTTTAACCCACAGCGCCACCCGCGCCCCTAACAAGAGCTCTACCACCATGCAAATACTGTATATTGTAAAAGATTAAGAAATGGGTCCCCAAATGCATGTTTGGGTTAGAAGTGGGTCCTGAGTCTGAAAAGGTTGAAGATGCCTTTTATAGATAAAAAAATCAAACACATGCAATTATTGAAATGTAATGAAATGCCAGACTGGTAAGCACAAATTGTGGCATCTGGAAAAGAAGGATTAATATTTATCAAAGTTGGAGATATTATTACCCAATAAATAGGAAAGCTTTATTGTGCTTTGTCTTTCTTTCTTTCTTTCTTTCTTTCTTTCTTTCTTTCTTTCTTTCTTTCTTTCTTTCTTTCTTTCTTTCTTTCTCTCTCTCTCTCTCTCTCTCTCTCTCTCTCTCTCTCTCTTTCCTGATATAATGT